TTTACAATTATAGGAAAAAATGTAAAGGTGGCGGTGTATCCATATATGTACAAAATAGCATAAATTCTGAAATAACCGAAGAATTATGCGAGAATGCGAATCATTACTTATGGATGTATATAAATAAACTGTTGAAAAATTGACAAAATTGACAGGTCGCACAGCACGCGCATCACGAACACGACTAACACTATACTGGATCATATATGTACAAACATAGGCAACCACTCATTCAGTATATCGATAATTGAATCCAGTTTTTCTGATCATAAACAGATATATGTCGAAATTGGGCGTTTGAAACCACAAATTAATAAAAAAAATACAATACAAAGCAATAGACTACGAAAACTTATATAATAGTACTCTAGAGGCGAACAACGACCATGATTTTTTCTACTTGGAAAATTTTATACTAAAACAGATAGACAAGAATAAAACAGATAAACCAAAAGTTTCGAACCCACCCCAAAAAGATTGGATTAATCGAACTATTATTAATGCTATAAATCTACGATATACTTTATGGCAACAAACGAAATCGAACCCTAATGATAACATTTTACGTGAGAAGTTTGTAGCTGAACAACAAAGAGTTAAGACCTTAATCGACACACACAAGAAAAAATACTACCATACAATGTTTCATAAATGTAGAAAACAACCTAAGAAAATGGTATTGGTAACTTATGTTTAAATAAAATAAAAGACAGCGGTGCTCCCCCCAAACTGATATCTAACTCGAAAATTATTACGGAAGGTAATTTAATATGTGATTTATTTAACTCCTTTTTCTCATCAGTAGGCGCAGATTTAGCTAACAAAATACCTAACATGCATTACGTAAATACGGGCAATATCCTAATGTATGACCAAAATTATACTCATCACCTGACACTATATGAACTCTCACCATGTAATGTAAGTGAAATATCCAAAATTATTGATGATCTGGATAGCAACACTAGCACTGGTCTGGATGGTATAAGTACCAAAGTGATTAAGTGCCTAAAAACATAATTGCTGAGAGATTAACCACCTGTATAAATATGTGTTTATCACGCGGTGTCTTCCCCGATACGCTCAACGTTGCTAGGGTCAGTCCTATATTCATATCCGGAAGTAGAACTGACCCAAGTAACTACAGGCCGGTGTCGGTGTTGCCGGTGATATATGAACGGGTTTTATGTACACGCTTAAGTAACTATTTAACTCAAAAAGTTTTTTATCGACCAACAGTATGACTTTCGTGCAGATTCTAGTACTCTCACGGCCACAGTAGACTTAATTACGAAAATTAAAACTCACATCGATCAAAGCAGCTTAGCTTTAGGTATTTATATTGATCTTAAAAAGGCATTTGACACAGTAAGCCACCAAAAGCTTTTACAGAAATTAGACAACATAGGTATCACAGGCGCAGCCCTTAGTATGTTTAAATCATATTTAGACAATAGGCAACAAGTTGTTAAACTAGATAACTTCACTAGTTCGACTCAAAAAGTAACATATGGCTGTCCTCAAGGCTCAATTATCAGCCTATTACTGTTCTTAATTTACATAAACAATATTAATAAAATAGGCATAACAGGACACCTAACATTATATGCGGACGACACACGTCTATTTTATTTCGGTAAATCTATCCACAATATCATAGCTGACGCTCAAAATGACCTCAATATTCTTAACGAATGGTTAAAATATAATCTTCTGACGATAAACACATCAAAAACATCATTTATGATTTTCGCAGCAAAAAATAAACATATACCAGACTTTACACCACTAACAATGACAATAATGACATAATTAAACAGTCTTATCACGAAAAATATCTTGAATTGTGGATAGATGACAAACTTACCTGGAAACTACACATAGATTACGTAAGAACAAAGTTAATATCGATACTGGGGGTATTACTTAAAGTATCAAAGTGCATTCCAACCAAAACCCGTACTATTATTTATAACTCTTTGATTAGGTCACATCTTGAATATCTAATTGAGATATGGGGATCAGCAGCTGTAACCAATTTGAATACACTGCAAAGAATACAAAACAAAATAATTAAAGTGCTATTCCATTACCATTATCTAACTCCAACTAAACTACTATATGAAAAAACTAAATTATTGAATCTCAGACAACCGTACGTCTGTCATACTTGCATTCTAATTAAAAAGATTACTAACGATTCCATTCAAACTAACATACAATTACACAAAAAACCAATTACACATAATTTAAGAAATATAAATAAATTACAACTAACGAAAGTACGAATTAAGTACGGAAAAAAAACAATACTATATGAGGGGGCACACCTGTGTAATAGACTGCCAAAAGAATTAAAGGATTGTAATAATATAAATGCATTTAAAAGCGGGCTTAAGAAACATGTATGTACATTGTAGCATCCAATATGCTAAGAGATGAATATTGTATTAGTCATAAGTTAATAACTATGTATCTCATTGTGAGTAAACTAACTGTAAGTTCTTATGAGAATAAAATTCTTTAAACCCAAATAACTGCGAGAATCGGTTCCTGAACTATTACAATATAATATGTACCTACAAAGGAGTTTGGCGAAGTTGGGCCTAACCGTTACAGGAATCAGTATATGTTCAAAATAAATAACGTTATTTTTAATAAGTACTCCAAATAATAATAGTTATCGATTTTACGGGGAACTAATTTAGTTTCTAAAATATGGGCATATTGATTTTCTGTTTACAAACAAGAAAAGGACACCAATTCAAAGAGAAAATGTTGGCAGTGGTAAAAGAATTGGTTGTATTGATTAGAATGATCGAACATTGTCGATATTCGCAAATAAATAATGATTTGTTTATTAACATCTGTTATAAATAATCATTAAAGTGAGTCGGAAATGAATTATGTCGATGAATACATTTACCTGGACCAGCTAGTACGCTTCGATAAAATAGTCAAGAGTCAAGAAAAATAAATCGATCATCGCATTGAAAACACGTGAAAGAGCTGCTGGTCCTACAAACACTTTATAAAGAGTGACTTGCCAATTAAAAAAACTCACCAACGCGTTTATATTATCCTGATCCACAGAGCCCAAATGTTGTCAAAGACAAGCATCTGGTGCGTGTGAGAAATGAGGACTTCCATGCAATGACAAGAGTACCTAGCAGACACTACCGAGATAATAACCACAGGGTTGCCATGCCGTGGCACCCACAGGACGAAAAAACGTCCTCAGGAACCTCAATGCCTATCATAAGATCTGGGGGCAACTCGCTAAAGGTCGAGATGAATGGAAATGGAAGGGGAGGCCTTTGCCTTTGGAGGGATGCATTGGGTCATCAACGGGTAATATAACAAAACGATTTAAGGCATATGACTTATTGAAATATTAATTATGTCCTGACTTACACACACGATACCTTTTTAATGTTATTCGGTTAATGTTTACATAACCGATATTAAGTAGAGCATACATTGTAATACTGGCTACACTACAATTAAAATGTCACTCACTGACCGTGTGAGTGATCTGTGATGTCTGATTCTGATAGTTTCTATCGTGTTACTTGTGTTTTGATGTTTTTCGTTATTATGAAAGATTTCGCAACTGCAATTAATCATCTTGATATTAGGATGTTTGCTTGCTGGTTCCTTACAGAGTCAATTAAAGCATAGTATTATTAAAAAAAGAAACTATTTGTCAAATAATGTCTTTTTTGATCCCCTATACACCGTATTGTGAAACAATAACCTAACTTTTAGTCATTAATACAACAATAACAATAATTCCCAATATCTGTGCTATCCCTTAGATCAGGTCTAAAATTTTAATACCCCTACATACGGTGTATTTTGAGCTACAAAACTGGCTCGATATCATCAGTGTGACGGCTTGGCCCAGAGTACTAAGGAAACTTGCCGATCTCCTTGGTACGGAACCCTCGGTGGGCAAGTCCGTCTCGCAGTTGTATGGATGTTTTTTCGAAGTATGCTTTTCCTAGTCCAGGTATTTACTTCTAATTGTTATTGTTGACAGAGCTGAAAGACTTAGTTTTCTATGACTCTTGGACTTGTGTGAAGGTAAAATGATTCCGTAAAGTCAAACAAAAGTTATGAGGATTCAAAGAAAAAATCGAAGCTTCAATGATCCGTCTTGGTCGGTGCACTACCGTGCCCGAGATATGATTTATTGGTTGTAGAACTGTTGCGAGTTAAAGTTCCTTATTTTTTTCACTGATTCACTCGACATTTTACGCATTGCTAAGGCACTTCTGCCAGACACATAAGCTACAAATTTTGATTACAATTATTATAATTTACCTTGTAAAACAAGGAAATTACAAGATAATAACTTTTGAAGTTCACAGTTTTTCTTTACTTACACTACCTAAAGAAATAAACCCACAGGAAATTAGGAGATCTACTTGATGTCTTTAAAATAATCAGATCAAAAACATAACATAACATAAACAAAAACCTTAATTTACAGTAGTTGTGCTAAAACTACCATAAATGCTGTTATTAAGTGTCACCTCGAGAGTCAACTACAATAATTTTGATCGTTTTGTGTATAAATCTTATACCTACACATGAATGTATAAGAATGATGAATTTTAGCCTGAAATAATTTTCAAACCTAATGGGTTACACGCTCAGATGAGGTTGCACGTGTTCAATTACTATCGCCGCACAGTACCACTTTGAATTGCAAAAAAATACAAATAATGTAACTAATGTGCTACAACGAATATTATTACGTCCGTGTTGCTTAAGAATACGGATACATGCGTGTCGCAAGAGCCTACTAAGGGAGCAAATTACGCAGGACAAAAGCACTGCAAAGAGAAGTAAAACTTGAAACAAACCTTATACCAACTCGTCTAGTCAGCGTTGTATAGGGCGCCAAAACCTCCTTTCTAAGGAAAAGCTTACGTCCAGAACGACTGTTAACGGCGATGAAGTCATTTTTTACATAATAATATTGAGTTTCAATCATGGTAATTAAGAGCCATAGTATTTTACTTTTTCAGTGTTTTAAACCCAAATCCCGCCCCCAGAACACTCTGGGTATACGTCTCGGTTCGTAATTTCTAAAGCGACAGGTTAACTATCGCGACTAGAATGGTCCTGTAAAGGTAACTAAGGAATATAAGTACCACTGAGCCAACTATTCCATTCCAGACTATTGACTCAACTACAAGCAGCCTACAACAACAGTTGGCTCCTGCTTGGTGTGTCAGGTAATTTTCTATTATTTTTCAAGAACTTATTCATATTTTATAAATATAAGCAAAGGAAGCACGATCTTACGACAGTCGTTTTGACGTGGTTCTCATGCCCTACGAGTACACGCAGACATTAGCGTATCTAGGGTTATTTTTCAGGTGAGGAGGCTGGCCCCTGACATCGCATGGCCGATGCGATGAAGTAGAGTCGATACCCAATAAACAGTCAGTGAGTATATGTGATTAGTATCATAAATTAATAACTCAAATAACTCACGCAGGTACTGCAAGCAGCGAGATATTGCCCTAAAAGAAGATAGAATCCACATCCCTAAGATTAGTTTGATCAGTAGAGTTACTGGATTTGCAACGATAGCATCATTCATACATGTATCTGATCAAACCGTTACAGCATGGCGGACAATGTTATTTCGACACTGGTTAAAATGAATGAAGTATTAACGATCCTCGTGAAACGAAATGTATCATGCTGCACTACAAAATTTGAATTTGAATTTTCTAATTGTCTAACCCGATATTAAAGTAAATGATTTAAAAGCAAAGTATAAAATTCCTAAACTGTTTTATAAGTATTTATAAAATCTGTAATTTTAACCTTTTTAAAAAATGCCATTTATTTTATTCACATATAGAGACTAGACGGATTAAGAATACGGAGTGTCACAACCCCTTTTTTTTCCGTGCGGTAATCCCCTCTGATACCACCTATCGGTGGCATGTCGGACTCGAACCGACTAAAACCGCACGCCGTCTCGGGTACTAATAGCCGGGGAACCAGGTATACCCTAGAAAGGAAGTCCCTGGTGCGAAGTGTCACAACCCCTATTTATCCCGTGGGTGTTGTAAAAGCCGACTAAGGGAGCAAACTCTGCAGAACAACAGCATTGAAAAGAGAAAGAAAACTTGACACAAACCCTATACTAACCCGTCTGGCCAGCGTGGCTTAGTAAGCCAATACCTAACCCACCTGCCTTAGGAAGGCTAAGGAGAGGCCTATGTCCAACGGTGGACTATTAAAGACTATTGATGTGATATGATGTGAAAGACTAACCAAATACGTTGAACGTACAGCGGGCTTACCATCAGATGGGTCATAAGTTTGTTTGCCAAAGTAAATTAAAAACCATGCATGAGACCATTCGCACATCGACTAAAAAAAATCTGTTTTATAGCAATCAGTAAATCATTTATTATCGCTTTAATTAAATAAATACCATAATAAGTCACAATAATAACCTAAAATCATAGATTTAGATTATACTAGCATAAATTAAAAGAAAATTTGCCCTTGAGAAATCTACTATTGTTTTTCAGATTCCATATAATTGATTTTATCACCAAAACCCCAAAGATCAGTACCATCGCCAGTTCTCTGAACTCTTTGTCGGATAACATCATCGGACACAGTCTTTAAATCATATGCCCAACCAATCGCCGCAAAGAAGTCTATAAACTTCGTCGTGACATTCAAATAGTTATTTCCTAATTCAGCTGCACGGTAATCCCATGGAAATACATGGTGATAGTTGTGGTAACCTTCGCCACAGGTTGCAATAGAAACTGCCACATTTTGGGCTGGCAAAATATTTCTGTCGTAACCTTTATTACCCCAAATATGGGCAACGCTGTTAACCATAAATGTTATATGGAGATTTAAAATATATCGAAGCATATTGATGTGCCAGGAAATAGACCAGCTCTCTCCCCAGCAGTAGACCGGAACAATTGTTGGCAGGATAAAGCAAACCATAGCTATTAAAGGAAAGGCGTACCTGAAATAAAAATGGAATTCGTTGTATACAAACATTTTAATTTAGAATGGTTTATAAAGTAAGATGATATCAATAAATAATAAAAAGTAACCAAATATCGGTATTAGGTTTAGGCAAGCCATATTTCGGCACTTATAGGCCAAACTCAAGTGTTTTCAGTTTATAAACTGGTTTTTAGGTATTGTGCAAATAACCGTGCGAGCATGAAAAAAACCTATTATTTTACCATTACATACAGACACTTCAGTTTTATTTATTTGTATAGATAAAGTAATACATTTATGACGACTGCACGGATGGCGTAGTGGTTTAAGCGGCCGCCACGCCGCTTTCTACTGTGCCGAGTGTTGTGGGTTCAAACCCCACATGGGACAACACTTTGTGTGATCCACAAATTGTTGTTCTGAGTCTGGGTGTTCTTTGTGTCCGTTTCATGTGTGTTTGTAAAGTCCCCCGCGACACAGGAATGTATTCCTAATGCGGGAGTTGTTTTTAAAAAAAAAAGCACATAAAGCACTGTAATTGCATATAATTTTAGATATCATCAATTAAGTAATTTACTATCAAATTGAAAATATAAAAAAAAAAAAATCAATTTTGTAAACACATTTTATGTAGGATTTTGATAATATGACAAATTACACGATGCGTGCATGTTTTCAGTAAATAAATGCCTTAACTTGACAAACATTATAATGAAAATAATTGTTGAGCAATTTCACGAGAGGTTGAACTACAATTATTGAGATATGAATATAAACTTTGCGATTATGCTCAGAGTGCTGTTGGCATTGACAAACCCTCTGCACACTAAATATATACATCTTATACGTTTTGTGGCACATTTTACCAAGTTCCTCGAAACACTCCAAAATAACTTCCTCAACAACGGATAGGGAGGGATGAAAATAGAGAGTATATAGAGCGCTCGCTAATAATCACTAATAGAATAACATTTTAATTGGGAACGTAAAGCAGCCACAAGGTCATACTTGCGAAGATTAAATATGTATCGAATGCAGTTCTTAAGAAAGTTATTAAGGAAGTTTTCATTTAGGTCGAAGTAACACACATCACCATAGCCAATTACAGGAATAATTAGGGCTGCATAAGAGAGATTTTCGTTTTATTACGCAGGAAATTATTAAGACCGTGTTCGCAGATTTCCAGTTACTTTCTGACTCCCAGGAGTAACTTCGCCAACAAAGGGTTTAATCAATGACCCCGGTCTAATAGCGCCTTACAGTCTGTCAATAAGTGCCTAGCTGTACCTTTTTCTGCTCTTTATTACATGCGAATGAAAAACGTAATTGTACAATCATGTATTAAAAGAGGTAAGTTTAAGCTAAAAGTAAGTCAGATTGTCTTAAATAATACACTAGAAGAGATATTTTTAAAATTTAGTTGTTTATAAATATTATAGAAGAATTGACGTCATTGATATCTACTTACATTTTTTGAAATACCAGCACAGGGTTGCTTTCAATATCAGACATATCGATTTGCTTTCCTTTTTTCAAGACTTCTGGATGTTTCTTCACAAGAAGCCATCCCATATGAGAGAAGAAAAATCCTCGACTGGCGTTATGTGGATCAGCATCAGTATCGCTATATTTGTGATGAAGACGATGATCTCTGACCCAGGTGGTCACAGTATTTTGGAAAGAAATACAATTCATCAGCATTAAAATAATTTGTAGTGGTAACTTGGCTTTGTATGCCTTGTGTGTCCAAAGGCGATGGGCGCCAGCTGTGATTCCTATCTCACTTATTATTAACATCACATAACCTGCAAAACGAACGGGTTCATTATATCAATATGCTTATTAGCTCATGCATATAATTAAATATACCTGTACACCTTATTTTCATGTGTTCTGTATCTACATAAAAATTAATTAACAAACAAACTCTTCTGAATAGAATAAAATCAAAGCTAACAGTCGATACAATTTATGTTCCATTAGATATTTATGGATTAAAGAATATTTAATCTATTTACAGCGTTTTAAAATCACCAGAGTATTTGTTTCTACATTTTCATGCTCAGCATCTTGTGTTACTCATATCTTGCTTGTCATTATATTTTGCTTAATATTTCGATACCTATTGTAAACAATCTAACATTCATAATATGTGGAAATAATCACACGCTACTTAATTGTAATAAAACAAAAGGAGTTCCACTCTGGCACCTGGCTCATCATCAAATCATCGTTACGATTTGTCAAAACCAGAGCTCAAAGTCGAGAATTTTACTAGTACTTAGTAACAAAGTTCATTATTTATCTCTTCTAAGATTCGTTTGGATAAATAGTTACAAATGAATTCAATAAATAGTCACAAATGATCACATCACATGAACATATTATCACGCCATTTGAATTTAAATCTTAACAAAATATCTTATCGATAGCAAAAGAATCTCTTCAATTCGAAAGTAATCAGTATAATAGTGTCAGGTGGGGGACTGCCATATCGTACAGCTACAAGCTATCATGTGGTGTTAGACAGGGTGGGTTGACTTCTCCTGACCTGTTTGACCTCTATATCAATGACCTGATAGGGGAGCTGAGCAGGCTCAAACTTGGTGACAGATACGTCAACAACTTAAGTTATGCTGATGATATGGTCCTGCTCAGCCCCTCGATCAAGGGCTTAAGAAGACTGCTAGTTATATGTGAGAGATATGCTACAGAGCATGAGTTAGTATACAATGCAAAAAAGACTGAAATGATGGTATTCAGGTCGGGAAGAGGTCCTCAGAACGTGCCTCCGGTATGGTTAGGAGGACAGATAGTGGTGGGGAGGTTCAAGTACCTTGGTCATATACTCACGTCAGACATGAGAGATGACGCTGATATAGATCGACAGCGTCGAGCACTCTCAGTCGTTGGCAATATGATTGCCAGGAGATTTTTTAATGCCAATATACAGACTAAGGGGCACCTGTTCAGAGCATACTGTCAGAATTTCTACACGTGTCAACTCTGGACTGCATATACGAAGAGGTCTTTGGATGGCATTCGTGTTCAGTACAATAATATCTACAGGCACCTTATGGGGCTAGCACCTTTCTGTAGCGCCTGCACAATGTGTGTTGAGGCAAGACTGAACACGTTTAATGCCATTCAAAGAAGCCGAATCGCGGCGTTCATGGCCCGGGTTGGTACGTGTAGGAACACTATAATTAAGGAACTTGCTGACAGGGTCTGTAACAGTTCCATGTTTATAAAATGGTTACAGATAGCTACATAAATAATTGTAACCAAAGTAAAGAAATATGTATTGAAATTCAAATATCATAAACAACGTTATATGGAAACTATTCTGAAATAAAGATTTATTATTATTATTATTAATATTCTTTGCTTTGCATACAATAGAAAGGTGCAATAGAAATTTGACCTTTCGCTTCATAATGAATATAAGTTTAATACAAAATTAACACATGTGCTAAAGATTTTATTACTAAGATAAAACAAAATTGATTAATTATTTATGAACCTATGAAGTTAGAGATTTTCAAAACCAGCATTATATTATATTATTGGCGTGCAATACGAAATTCAAATTAATTTTATTCAAATCCATCTTATTTTAATTTAAAATTCAGTCATTAGTTTTAGATGGTGTTTTGTTTTTGTGCTCACACTGCACAACAGACCATCGCAAAAGCCACAAGAGTTATAGCTGGAAGCTCTCCGTCACCTACCGTACTCACCGGAACTAGCCCCAACATATTTTTAGTTTTATTTTTATTTAAACATTTTTTAAGTGGGAAAAAATTCAACACCCGAGAGGCAATACACACAATGACTTTACCGCCTTCCGTTCAGCAGACTTCTACAGTAAAGGGATAAACAAACTATCATCAAAATGGCAAAATTATACTTATAGATAAGTTGGGCCAGTACTTTCATTAGCTGAAATAACCAACATTTTTAGATTTTAAAATTTCCATAGAAATATTAAAATTCACAGGTAAAGACGTAATTTATACATTACGTCATATATGTTAGTATGTAATTTTGGCGGTAGTCCACTGAAATTTCTAATGTCGCGAGTTTGGTTATCGCTTTGCGCAAAATTGCTTACATGAATCAAATTTTTTGGTTTGATTGCTGACAAATTGAAATAAACTAATTTAAAAATCTAAATTATCAAATCAATCAATCTTTGTGACATAAGTCGGAAATTACAAACTGTCTTGATTGACTACAAGAATTCAAAACAGCAAATGTAATTTGATTTTGCACTTAGAGTCATGCTGACGTTCTAGGTACTACATTACATCTGGGGGCATGGTAGTACGAAGCCAAGACGTGCCACCGTGTTCTCGAAATGCTTCGCCGGTTTTTTTCCTCATAACTTGGGTTTGGATTACACAAGATAAACAAAATTCTCAGATTATAATGTCAATAGTGGACTTATAAAACATATAAAGTTTCAACCGCATAGCTTTTATACTTAAGATTTTATTGATATCTAAAAAACCCCGATTTCGTCACTGACTCACTGATGGCCTCCAAAATTCTTGGGGTACTTTCTGAAGGCTTAAAGGCAGAAAGCTGAAATTTGGTATGTATTAGTACACAAACAACGTAAAAAATCTAAAACTTGGAACTGTTACTCTCTTACCACTTAAACTAGGAAATGGAAATTTGTATGAGACTGCCTCAAATTTCGATGCTAGAGGGATATGCTGAGATTCTATGATATAATAGGGACTCCTTGTTATAAATAATAGATTGTTATAAGCAACGTACAAAAAGAAATAAAATACTGTTCGGGCGGGGACTGACTACCGCTGCCCGCCCGAAAGTGGATGTAAGTCCTATAGAAGACCTCGTTAAGTGCTAATAACTTAAGGAAACTGAATTGTAATACTAAAAGAAAAAAATTACTACTTCTTTCTGTGACACTTATTTACTTACCCAGTGCTATAGTTGCCCATTTTGCTTCCGTGAAACATAGATATAACCCATAAACAGCTGCCAGATGCCCGTAACCGAAAGTTACAAAGTTTCTATACACTAGTTTATATTTTCTATGTACAACATTTGGTACCTCAGCTACTGAAGGTTCTTCTGTCTCCGTTATTACTTTACTCATAGTTCCGACCTGTAATAATAAAATACTTCTTAATAAGTATTCCACGAAAAAATGCAGTGTTTAACAAAATGTGCTTAAATCTAAGAGATTTACTTGTATTACTGCCAATGCAATTATGATAATGATCAATTTCTACAAAAATACAAGTATTTCTTTCCATGATCAGAAAAAAAACAGATAAACCGAAAAAAGCGACAGGTAAACAAGTAGTAACTTGTATAGTGGTTTCTATGAATTTCAAAACGAAATGAAATTAAAGAATCGGATTTTCACACTAGAATGTATGTAAGTCAGCGATTTCATATTTCCTAATAATAACAACGACCGAAAATTTAACCTGTTTTACACCTTTGATATATGTTATCAGTATCATAATTTTCACCTTTCCCTAGTTTTATCTGGACTCAGCGCACATGTTACACTAACTGTTTTCGTACCATTTTCCATTGATGCTCGGCTGCCTTGGTTGTAGCGTAATGTAATATAGCCTTGCTCGAAAAATAAGCTATACAACACTAAAAGACTTTGCTAATTCGAATCATTAATACCTGAGATTATCATTCAACCGTTCAAACTCTTCTGCTTTATAATATTAGTGTAGAAGGTAGCAAAGAGTTTTGGCTGTTTTTTTTTTTGGTTGACCACCTGCTCGTTGCTACCACCTACTTAGCAATATATCTTTTGGGTAAGCAAAATTGACATGGTATTACGTATGCTAAGACATTTCCGAACGCAGTAGGTACGGATTTGACGGTTGATATGATTCCCAATTTCTGGAACAAACTAGTTAGTGCAAAGATTGTATCAAATAGTTAATTAAAACACTATTGAGGGAAATGCATAATAGGAAATGCAGAGTTTCAATAAAAATGGAAATTTTAAAACTCCTGCACTTTTTTTTAATTATATACCTACTAATACAGCCAAGTCAGCAAAATCAAAAAAGGAATGATCGAAATTGTATGCTAATAGAGAGAATAAAAATAATTCACAATACTCACGGGCTTATCAAGAACATGTGTTAAAGGCAGTATTTCTGTTCATTTAGTCTTACAATCCGATCGAAGATACATACTGGAGCCGGTAGCAAAATGTTTAGGTTTATAAAGCATTAAATCTCAGTCATTATTACCGATTTTAATATCGCCAAACGCCAAAACGGCTATAAGTCTAATTTAAAAAATTATTGTTTCTGTTTGTATTTGTAAAAGTTTTACTAATTTTTTGTTATAGTAATACAGTTAAATATCGAAAAAAGAATACTTGTAATGATATCCATCACCTAATAGTGTTAATGTACATTTTATCGTTGGAGAGCCATACGCAGCGCACGTAAGTACCTATGGCCGGTTCGACCGAAGCTAACTACGGGCTCCCGGAATACAGGTGTTAGGCAATACTGTCGTTGCTTTTCATCGAATGGGTACCTGGAGGACCCGTTACTCACTCCCTTCTCTCTTATTCGGCGAGGGTGAGGATGAAAAAAGGGGGGAGGGGCATTCATAGGGCGTTGGCACACTTGTGTCTCTCATAGTTATATCAAAAATTTTCATCACTAAATAGTTTTGCAGGTCTGAGGGTGTAACGCAATTGAGGTTAAGCAATTTTTTGTTAATATCTTCAATGTTAAACCGTATATTGCGTCACTTCCTATACAAATTTATACCACTGTTTAAGCAATTAAGGCTAATTACCAATATAATTTACCAGATGCCGAAAATAAGTAGACAAATGTAGACCACTAGATTAAAACAAATGCCATTTTTTTAAATGTTATGCTCAAACACAAAAAAAAACAGATTAAAACGCGTTGTGGAAACCACGGAAAGACCACAATTGAAGAATTTTAACAAATATTCTTTAAGAAAGGATTTTTCCTTACAAAATGTCTATGCAACTTCGTTAGTTTTGATAGTAGCGTTTTCAAATTCACAGTAAATACTCATTTTTAAAAGTAATAGAAAACGTTTTTACAAATTTTTCGAAACTACCCTTAAGAAGGGATGCAAGTTTTTATGGAGAACTATTTATTTTTAAATTATCGATTCCAAATTCTCAATATAATTACATGCTCTTTAAAAAATAAATATAATTAGATACCAATTTTAATACTCTTCAAAATGTAAGTATGTTAGTTACTCAATCACGACAAAACAGCTTTCCGGATCTGGACGAGATTTGACTCATAGATATGTAGAGCACAGTGGGTACTATTAATCAAGGCCAAATTTATTGACCAAATTGACATTTACGCGATCTTAAAAATAGGCGAAAGCTAGTTTCTAATAAAACGAATAAAACAAAATATAAAATACCTAGCTTTCTACAAACCATTACTTGTAGACTATTTTCATACGATGTTCAAACTTTCAATATGAAATGTTATTTTCGTAGAAGACAATGCATTAAAAACATTTTAATGTTAAATTTATTTTTATTTTACAAGTTTAATGGCTCGCTCAGCGTGCGATGTTGGTTGTTTCTCTTGTAAATAAAATTTGAAACGAGACTATTCGACAGAGAACCAGATAATCAGAACGCTGTATTGAAAGTGGACTGGTTAAGTTTCCAGGCGGACTGATTGCTACTGATTGGTGGACGGATGCTGTCATATGCTAGAGTGGAGACCGCGATTAGGAAAACGTAGTGAAGGGCGCCCTGCAGCACGGTGGACTAACGACTTAAAGAAAACAGGTATTAGTAAGTAATACATCAATAGGGGAGAGTGGAGGAAACGCGAACGTGGGGTATAATAATTCTAATGTATTAGAAAGAGATAGAGATAGAGCCATATTTTACTTGCCGCCATTTCGGAGATCACGCCACCACTAGTACCTACTTGTCAAGGTACTTATGCATTTTTCAAGTTTTTGCTGTATTTTTTTTAGTAAATTCAAGTTGGTGTTGCTTTATTTCTATCTAAAATAGTAATTTAACTGTTATATAGTGGAATGCTCACATATTTATCAGCTATATAACAATGACGCAATCTGGAAAAGAAATATACCTAACCCATTTTTTTCCATATTTTATTGTTTTCGATCCAGCGGGGTAAAGGCGAACACTCCATGTCGGGCAATCTCGAACGTTCGGCATTACCCCCTTTTGTTGGTTCCCCGTTTATCTTTTTTGTATTATTTTCTCAGATACCTTGTAATTAAAAAAGAAAGAACAAACCAAGTACACTGCCACTTAAGTTTGGCAATTCTCCGTCTTGAATATCTCAAACGCTATAGGCGATGTTAAAACCAAAAAACTTTCCAAAAACAACCATTTTTGACCACCTAAAGAAAGCTCTGATAAAACAGCCAAGGTCTGGATGAAAACCTTTATTTACAGACAAGCAGGAAACGCAACTTGTCGATTATATCATATAGTGCAGTAAACTCTATTATGGCCTTACTATATTTTTTTTGCCAAATCGCGTGCCAATATGCAGAGAAGAAAAAACTTACGCACAATTTCGACCGTGTGAAATAGCTAGCCAGAAAAGACTGGTATTACGATTTCATGAAAAGACATTCCAGCATATCTCTGAAGACACCTGAGGCGATTTCACTCAATCGTATTACTGCGTTCAACGATCTGACGTTAAAGTTTTTTTATGATATTTTGAAGGCCATACAAGACAAACATCTTATTCAACCTGATACAATCTTGAACGTCGATGAGACAGGTTTATCAACGGACAGTCAACATCGTTGGGTTATAAATGTGATCACTGTCGTTATTAATGTTAGTACGTAATTACCCCAGTTGATGTTTGTGTTTACCCAACTAATGTCGGGTAATGCTGAACTCTAAGGGTTTTGTTTTTTTGCATATTGTTACAATTTATTATTATTCAATTTATTAGAAATATTAATGTTGATTAGTGAATTCGTTAGAGAGATAAGTAAACTTTATAATTAAACAATAAAGAAACTCTGTGATAAAATTCCACTGTTTTATTTTATTTTTTTCAATGGTGTTCGTGTTTCCCCCACTTTCCCCTACACTATACAGCTACCACCTCAGTTGCGAACACCGAACACCAATTGCCCTTGCGTCAACACCGCATGTGTCGTGGCTATTTTATATTTTTAGGCAACCCAATGTTTACTTTACTAGTTCCTAATTTTTAATTTATTTGCTCTAGTCACAGGCAACCATCAACTGACGATTTCCTCCTACTTTTTCCGTATCGTCCATTACTTTCTGGAATGCTCTTCCTCTGCAAATTATACTGTCAATATGACCATGCAAACTGAACGTTAATCATCACGAGACTGCCTTGTAATCATTAGACACTATCTGAAGAAGTGTATTGTGAATACAGCATACATATGTTTGTATTTGTATTTTTCTTTTCCAGTTATTATATCAACTTTTTTGGATTTCGTTTTTGAAAGAAATCTCCCGGGCTCTCCACTAAAAGCATTAGAAGACAGCTAATGTTCTTTGCATACGTGCATAAAGATACACAATGTTTGAGCATCTAACTGATATACGCAGAGCATTCCACAGTCACACATGTTTCAAAATTTTGATACATACAAAAGAGCATCTACCTAACTGTCTCAATACAATTAATTGCAATGAACTTTTTGAAAGGATTTAATATTTATAGTCAAAGTTATTTTTTAAAATGTCTTTCACCAAACTTAAATAAATTATGCGAAATATGCTTTTAATGTTCATAGTTTTAATTCAAATCAATTCAGAGATCAACTATTGAGAGAATCATTACAACATTAATATTGGGATTTCTTCCTTTTTCTATTTTGGGATAATTTTTTTAACTCTCCCTTTTCTAAAAAGATATTATTCTTAGGACTATTACAACAATTTCACGGGCCTGTTGGTCTAGCAATTAGTCGACTGCACGGAAGGCGTAGTAGTTTAAGTGGTCACCACGTTGCCAGAAACATGCATCACACCACCCAGATATTAATATTGATCACATGGGGTGACCAATTGACCGTCGATGGAAATCGGACCATCATCTGAATCGTAGACCATGGCGTATTGTAGATGTACTTTATCTTTTCAACACTTAGCATTAAACCTCCAACCTGTGACTGTCGTTAAAACAATAATAGTTCCTCCTGTAGTTCAGCACAACTCTCAGTACAAACGGCAATGTCGTCTACGTAAAAAGGGTCCATTTTGCAGCCCCCTATGCTACCTCTGTAAGTTTGTCCAGAACAGGAAACGACTCGGGACTGACCATTGGTGTACGCCCTCCGTTACAGGTATAGACTTTGTCTCATGTCTCACCCCCTACCGTCTGCGCGTCTGTATCGTTGACCTAGATTTTTTACACATGTCGCAGCTGATGCTTACGTATGGCACGAAGACATTCCTATTGCGAAGGCGCCACCCAAAGCCTTTTCCGTGTCAAGAAATGATACGTACAGTTGTCGGTTCTTAGCCCAATATTCTTGTGCAATCGTATTAAGTGCAAACATAGGGTCAGTGGTAGATAAGCCTGGCACAAAGCCGTAATGGTTTTTTGACAGAGTGTACTCGTCTTTTAGACGGCTATACGAAATAGCAATTTTTTCTATGATATATTTTATTAGTGCAAAAACATATATTTTATCCTAGAAACAGCCGTGCGATGTAAACGAACTATGGGTGATTGAATTCGACGTTATCGCCATCTATCGAAGTGAAGTATAAACTTTTCTACATTTTAGACTTAAGATGGGGAACGGATACGGGAACGAACATTGTGACACGAGATGTATAAGACATCTCGTGTCACAATGTTCGTTCCCGTACTCGGAGGAGTACGGGAACGAACATTGTAACGGCTTGACCGATTCTCATGAAATTTTGTGTGCACATCGGGTAGGTCTGAGAATCGGCCAACATCTATTTTTCATACCCCTAAATGGTAAGGGTGACCCATCCCTAACTTTTTTTGTTAGGCAATACAACGTTCTCCGGGTCAGCTAGTATGTATATAAATTTCTATCTAAGAAAAATTACCATCGCAGCAATTTTAGTGTACAGTGTACTTTCAGTATTATTTTTGAGAAAATTAAACTAGATCAGCTGCAAACTCATTTTAGTGTGAACAAAATTCTACACAGGAAACAGTTCGACTTCAGAAGAGGTCGCTCGACAAGTGAGTTTTGTGATTTGTCGAAGGCATTCGATTGCGATTTTCATGAAACATTGATCAGGAAATAGCATCACTATCGAAAAAGGAACACTGCAGGGCTCAATTCTCATCCCAGTTTTGTGTCTCGTTTATATAAATGACGTACCCAATCTGATAAAAAGTTATCAGGAGATTGCGGGTGACACTTTACTTTTATTTAAACTGAAACAACAGCAATCAGTTACTGACGATGTGAATAACACTCTCTCCAATTATGTTACTTTAGGTACTTTATATAATCTCAATTACAGGCAGTCACTGTATTGTGACAGTCGCATCTCAATACATAACATATAAAAATTTAGATGAAAATTTAATTTTTTGTTGTAATTCGTATTTAGTTTGTTTTCACTTTGTTTATTTTTTGTTGAATGTGAATTGTATAGTCAATTCCGACTTGTAAAAAGATCGGAAAAAAGTTCCTGAAATATATTCTTAAAATGCTTTCCAAATCTCTTTACTATATTATATATATTATATAAATAATAAATTATATAAATAAATATTCAACAAATTAAGTAAATACAATTAAATAATAATTTTTTCTAACAATTTGTGTTTTCAGGACATGACTTTACATTACTTTACATTAATATTAACGTAGCTGTATCACATAAAAATTTAAAAGTCTTGTCTGTATCACGTTTGATGTAACCCTTTCTAGTGTGTCGCGTAAAGTCGTGTTACATTTTTGGTCGGTAGGTTGTATATGTATATGCCCAGTAAGTTCCAAACATGTGTATATTTACTGTCAAACAGAATGAGTAATGATTGAGTAAGGTGCAATGGTAACGGTGAGTAGCCGGGCTTTACGGCACATTGACTCAGTAGCCGGCATGGAGACCACGCGTGTGCGAACGTTCTTCATATTAACTCGTAAGTACGTTTACTTTCTATTTAGTGCTTAGTATTTGTCTCCCAAGGTTTAGTGTGATAACTTTATAAAACTAAAATGTGTTATTTGATAATAATATACTGGCTTTAAGTATCTGTGGAGTAGCAAGCTTACAGCTGGTATGTTGTGTATTAACAGTTTCGATGGGTGTGACAATTGCTATGTTTGGAATTGTATTTGCCGTCTCATAAAATTCTATATTCAGTCGAGACAATGTTAAATCGACAATCGCTATTGTAAATGGAAGCCGCATATAACAAATAGAAAAGAAAACTTTTCCAGTTTGTAATTTAGAGCAACTTAAATCGTTGAATATTTAAAGAGCCGCCATTTTTCAAGGTCTGTTTTTTGTCAAATACCAAATCTACATTCCATACATAATCATTTAGTTGATAACCTGCGCTTATTAATAAACTCGGGTCTATTAAAAATTCATGCACCATGAGTGTAAAGTTAAAATTACAGTTAGTTTTTTTTTGATACGGTAAAAAAGAGAGATATAAAAATAGCAAACCGAGAGAAATAGCTAACTAGCTTCATTACTTATAAAGCTTACAAATATTTAAGTTACGATAATATTGAATTACATTGATTACTGATTATATTGATTACTCTGGTCAAAGTGTCAATCATTTAAGGATATATTTATGGCTACAAAAAAGTTTATGACTTATTTCAGTGTAATAAAATCTCGGTTTTTGTACTTGTATCATGTTACTAGTTGCGTAGAAAAAGTTGTCTGTCCCTAAGAACTACAACAATATGTACATAAACATGAAACAGGTTTAGGTGGTTAACATGTCGCACGTCCTTAACTGAGTTAAATGTTTATTCTTAACTTTAAACACATCTATACCTTTATACATTGATATCACATCACATCAACAGCCTTTAACAGTCCACTGCTGGACATAAGCGTCTCCTTAGAAAGGAGGTTTTGGCCTACTATACATACTCGTATACTATATAAATACATTGATATAACTTATTATTATTTAAGCAGCTTTAATATTGTTTTATTTCTAAATAATGATAACGGACAACTCATGTAGGAGGTTGGTAGTGAAGAAAATCATCTTCGAAAGTAGAGTTATCTTCTTACCTCATAATTGTGTTCTGACAAAAGTTTGTATTAGTAATTAGTCTGTTTGTGTACCACAACCTGTATGTGCGTATATGTGAATTTATGAGTGCACTGCTTTTCGATAGAGTTCCAAGCAATTTGTGCCTTTGTATGTATTAAGTTTTACTTAATATACAAAAATTCATAATCACGATTTGAATCTCAAAATCATAGAAATCGGAATAATATGTTAGAACCAAATCTTTTATACGGTCTATTTGGGGTTGGCGCAATGAGTTTTCTTCTTCCATTCTGCTCTATCACTCGTCAGTTTACTTCTTTTTAATCTTTTTTTAACCATATTTTCATGACATTCCAACACAAAGGGAGGATCCTTCGACTAGGTGAGGTGATCATGCCGGTCGCGGCCCAACGAATGATGTTGGGACGTTGGAGATATGCTAATCGGCGAGAGAATTGTTAATATCGCGATTAAAATTAGCTTATTACGGAGTACCCGTAGTTCGATGTGACTTCGTTAGATGGCGCTGTAGTATATTTTGTTAGAAGTCGCTACACTTTTTTTACACTATCCGTCCATTTTTCTTGAAAGTTGACGGATAAGCCATTATCCGTCAACTTTCATAGATACAATTACTCGTATTAACCAGTCTAGTCTATTACTATAATGAGTAAGAAAAGACATTTCAAGATTTAAATTTTGACATTTGATATGCATTGCTCTTATCTTATGTTCCACAAAAGGTTCTGTGTGGTTTAGGATAAAAAGGAAAAAAGGTTTTCTATAACACAAATTTTCAAAAATTATTTAATTCCGGTAAAAATGTTACATACAATGTTGTAACGTAGTGTAGGACGCCCACAGGCCAGGTGGAGTGACGATTTGCGCAAGACGGCTGGCAGGAGCTGGATGCGAGAAGCCCAAGATCGATCTAAGTAGCGTGCAATGGGAGAGGCCTATGTCTAGCAGTGGACTGAAATAGGCTAATGATGACGATGATGACAATGTTGTTACCTGTCACCCATCCCGCAGGCGTGACGTGTACTCATTTGTTACCTCATAGCACAAAAAAACTTAAACCTACTAATCAGTATAGTAGAAATAAAATTTATGATTGTTACGTGCGAAATGCGTACGAAATGTTACGTATTTGGCAAGTTAGTGCGAGTTTTTCAACTATGTTACATTGCATGATAACGTAACAATGTACGTATATTTTTTATAATTCGTAGCTAACAATATATTTCAGTTTTTATAATACACTGTTTCATATTTACGTGAATTTTTCTTCTTTATATTTCTAAATTTTTCTGCGTTATAATTAGCTTGGCGGATAATTTTCCTAAATTATTTTTTAGTTACCCAAATTATCCGCCAACCTTAGAAGAAGATTACTAAATGCTTGTTTAATATAGATTAAACTCGCGAAATCGTTATTATTAATTTCGTAACAATAGTTTGGAAAAGAATTACCAACATCCCATCAGGGTTAGAGAGAGTGACTTAAATAAACAAACTAACCTTCGGATGACTCGGCTTTTACAAAGAAAAATCTTTTGTACCATCGCGCACACCGTTTCTATTCCATTATTTGATACAGATTAGAAAATAATGTTTTACTTTGTAGTTAACCAAAAGTGTTATCGTAAAATAACAAAGAACTAAAGATACAATTAAGTAAGTAGAGGTATATACTAGAGACTCACATCCGATGTAACATGTTTAGAAAATACGAAAGAATGTGTTTATAACAGGGCCCGTAAGCCTGCGACCGGTCGGCTGTTCTTTATGTAAACATTCCATTCTTAAGTTCCATTCACATGTTCATTTTTTATTTTCTTGTACAGAATGAATATACTTTAATATTAAAAACACGTAGCGTTATGGCAATGGCAATGACGGTCACGTAGCCGCAGGTCAAACAATCAGTATCCTTTAGACAGAATAGCTAGAATAATCCCCACTGCAAATTATTGAGTTAAACCGTTATCTTTCTTCTAAATTCAATACGAAAGGTATAACATAGTCAGACTATGTTTAAAAAATTCCGTACAAGTGTGAGTCGAACTCGTCCACCAAGGGTGCCGTACAAATTTGTAGGAACATATTATAAATAGTTCAGGAATCGAGTATCACAGTTTTGCCGAGCTTTTCCCGAAATTTAGTTTCCAATACCTATATTTGAAATGATATTTATTTCTGCAAGTAAATCTTTTCAGATATTTTTACAAGTCGGACTTTACAGCTAGAAGGCACCGGCATTTCCAAAGACTCACTCCGGGAAGAAACGCCTAAACAAACTTCTAGGTATCTTTTTTTTTAAGTCCGTGTACAATGTTAAAGAGAACTATGTGAGTGCAGTACCTATAGGGTCTCGGTTGGCCTTTTGAAGAAAGAACGTATTGAGTCGGGCCGTCCATACAGACGGCAAACGAGCCGAGCATTACTTATAGTAATGTGTTTTATGAGTGAAATCGTACCTCGATTATTGATTACGTACTTTAAATATAGACTATATTATTATTTAATGATTTACTTACAAATGTATAGTTTTCAGATTTTTCCCTGTACTTTTAGTATTAGACGACGTTACTTTCCAAATCTTATAGTTCTATGTCAACGGAAAGTACCCTATAAATTTGGATACCCTTCAGAATGTCGAAATATGCGTATTTTGCGGCATAAACGGCCGTTTTTTTTTTTTTACGTTATCTGAGGAGTTTTATTATTTTACAACTTCAAGGGACCGTAGTCCTGAGTTAATTATTTTTTAATTTAATTTCCACTCGATACCTCTCCAAGCGTTTCTGAGATAAAGGGTCTTGACAGACAAACTGACAACAAAGTAATCCTATAAGGCTTTCGTTTTTTTTCCTTTTGAGGTATGGAACACCTAAAACAAACAGGCATTGGGTTTTTGTATACTGTAAACAAATACACAATACATACATCGAATCAATGATCACAAAGTCATATTCAGATTGCCCAGTTTGAGTTTATGTACACCGCCGAACGCGGTCACCGTGACGATAGTGTCGATGTGAAATAAACTTACACTAGGCACTAACTAAACGCATGTTCTATGTCCGCCATCTAAGGGTAGATGACGGACATAGAACATGCGTTTTGCACTCGCATCAAATAAAATAAAAGTTCCTAATAAAATTAATTTAAATAAAAATCTGTCAACGAATTTTAATATACATATGTACGGTAACACTTCATTTCATTTCATTTCACCATTAGCATTAGAAACATTAAATACAAGAAATATATCCAAAATGAAATAGAAGTAAAATCTGTTTTTATGTTTCTGCACTCATTTTCAACGAATACAGAACCCATATTGAATAACCAAGCACCACTCGCCACTAAGCGCTATACAAAACCCTAAACACAACATGACCCAAGCGCCCGTTATGTGAACGGTCAAGATCCTTAGAATAAAATGCATAAGAATTCATTTAATTCTAAGGCAAGTAACGCTTTAGTCAATTCATTAAGATTTATACGCTTTAGTCAATTCTAGGTGTCAAAGAAAAATAATTTTAAAATAAATAGAGCAGAACGGCAGAGTTTACAAGATATTTGTTGCTGAATTGACTTGAATGACTTTTGGGAAATCGTTTTTTTTACGCGGAGGGACTGCGATCAGACTTCCACAACCCAAGTACTAGGCGATATCGAAGTTCTGTAGAAAGACTGTTGTTGGACTTCTTAGGGCTCCAACTACTCGTAACGATTGCCACAGACGTTCGTATGGCAACCGGGACCGATGGCTTAACGTGCTCTTCGAGGCATGGCGGGGTCTCAATGTGTTAAGAATGGTCACCCATCGGCAGATTGACCTAGGATTGTTTAACTTTGCCATGTGTTAACCCTTTCGGTTACCACTT